AAATCATTGTTAATAGGTAGGTACTATAATAGTAAATGGTTATTCTAAACATGTTCCACAATTACATGGCTTAACACATTCATATTCTTATAAGGAGCATTGTATTGTGAGCTTGTAAGTAAGAACCTTCTTGCAACTTTTAATACCAAAGTTTCCACATCATGACTCAAGATCGACGGTGACATTCATATTATAGTACTATGGATTTAGATAATCACCTAACACTCGGTGCGACCGTGAGCTCGGTTTATCCAAAGCAGTCAGAATCGTGGTAACAGGATTCTTATACAAGTAACTAAAAGTTAACGTAATTAATCCGTCTATAACTATTCACAAATTTATATTAAAGTTTGTTTTACTCAGTGAAACTATATTTAGATTTGGGAAACATAAGAAAAAATCGTAAAATTGAAATATTATGAAAATATAAACATTTCATGGCGACCCTACAAATATCTGACAAAGTACGGTGTCGATAACTCGCAAACAAGAGCCACAAGAACGCAATGAAAAAAACATGACGTTCGAAATGCGAATTTGAATTTATGAATTTCGAATGTTTGCTTTTATAAAACTGACAGGTCTGTCTGTGGGCATCTATGCATAGGTCACGATCGTTAACATACGGGTTCGACACTGGATGAGGAAGTCTAATTTATCCTAATATTACACGAAACAACTTATCGTCATGGCCACTAATTTCATAGCCCGTCAACCAAAGTTATTCTCTTCCTCAAAAAGCTTGCATGTGAATAATTAGGTTAGAAAGTAAAAAGAACTGTCAAACTAAAGGCATCGATTGTTCGAGAAACTAAAACTAACTTTTTTGTGTCACGAAAGCTTCCATCGATGCACGATAGATTTTTACTATTTCGCGGCTAAATTGGGATTCGGGAAGTTCTTGCCAAGTGATTATCGTCTTTAATCTAACCCCGTAAAGATCGACTTGAATGTTTCTGAATTCACCATTTTGTGACAGAGTTTTGATTCCCGATCATGAAAAAAATGTTTAGCCATTTTTGCTCTTATTGAAATGAGATAGGGATTATTAATTTGAATTTTGAAGGGAATATCATTTAGAATATAGTATTATATTGATCAGAGATTTTGTTGCTTATGTGTGTTCATTAAAGACTATATTTGTTCGATTCGTTGCCCACTTATTTTATATTGTTTGATGTATTTTACGCGCGAGCCAACTTATAGATTCTAAAGCTTCACTATACAAAAAGGAAAAGATATTTTTTGCCAAAATAATACTGTTTATAAAAGATAATTTAAATTTAAATTTTTCAATCTTAAATAAATAGATTTCAAAAATATTTAATTTCAAAGCAAACGATGAGAATAACAATGCGAACCAGCTTTATTTTCGTCTTTCAGTATCTACCGTGAAGCAGTAATGCGTTTCGGCTTGAAGAGTGTTGCAGCCGTTGTGACTATACTGAGACCTTAGAACTTATATCTCAAGGTGTGTGGCGCATTTACGTAGTAGATGTCTGTGGGCTCCAGTGACCACTTAACACCAGGTGGGCTGTGAGCTCGTCCACACGTCTAAGCAATAAAAAAAAAAATAAAAAAAAAATCAACTCATATTCTAAAATCTACGCATATCTTCGCTCCTGTAGTGCGACAACTTCCTAACGCTAAAGACGAACCGAGTCACATTTTATAGCGAGCGATAAAAATGTTCGCGGTCGTGTCGCTTGCGTCTCAGTGGAGCGAGCACCTGTCAGACTATTTTGTAACTTATAAAATGTCTTCAAATGTATGAATACAATCGTAAATCATTTTTGATGGTATCGACTTTAAAAAAAAAAAGAGGATTCCCTAGTAACATTATTACATTAACATTATTTTTGGTCAATACGTGATCTTAGAGCTTAAGTCCAGTGTCTAAACTAGCTTATAACATTAGTGTCGTGTCGAAAACTCCGATATATTTTTACGAGAATAGCTAAAATAATGCGACGACGCCATTAGTAAAAACCAGTACGAGCGAACCGATTTACAATTCAAATGTACATTTTAATAAAAATAAGATTTATTTTATTCGATAATATAGAAAAATAAAGTTGTTGAATTTAGTCTCTCGGCGAACTGTCGCGGCGCACGCTATGATCGCTATCTATTCGTCATGTCATAAAACTTTCTTCCTTGTTCCTTTATAAATAAGAATCAAAATTAAAGAGTAATGTGGATTAAAAGAATCGGCGGTATCGCGAAGTACTTCGGTATTTGAATTTTGAACATGGAATCGAAACAAGCAGTTGTATGCTGTGGCTACAAATGTTCGCATTTTGAATTCGAATTTCAAAATATGTAGTTTAAGATGGCAATCTTTTCGCTAAATATTTTTGCCGCGAAAAAAACATGTGTTCCTATTTGAAAGAAATAAAGGCTATTGCAATACTATGAAGATTTCCACTCCACGGTCCACAGGCTCTACTAACTCAGACCGGGTAGACAGTGAGCTCATCTGTCTCCCTATATAACTAAAAAACATTAGTTTAATTATTTAATATTTAATTAATATTTAGTTTTCAATTAAAATGTTATCTATAATGAAGTCGATCGTTATATTAACCTGTTTCGAAGCGCATAAAGTAATGTTATAAGTAGCGGTGTCAATACGATAACAATGTTTTAAGGCCTCGGAGGGCCGGCGCGGCCTTATCTACCGCATCTAGCCTCCCCGCTAATGAATATTAACTAATATCAAACTGTTCAAATTAATGAGTTACAATGACTCATTCCCTAAGAAATATTGTGGGTTTTATTTACGTATTTTTTTTATTTTTGTAGTCGATACTTGTATTTATATCTTGGATCGGAGGCCGGTCGGGCATGGATCCCGTGGTCTTATGTTCCGCATTAAAAAAACTAAAGTCAGAATTGTTTCCTGCGTTAAAGGTAATGTAAACATACCACAAACAAACAAGTACTCGAACACACACCCATACACACGACGAATACCGAATATATGTATGTATTTGACAAATTGACTGTCGTAGGATTAAAATGTGCCGCCATCTTATAGCTGCTACAATTTTAAATTAATTATATCTGCTTAACGTGATACTCGTGGCTAAATTCTTCGATAAACGAACATTACCGTGCTGTAAAATGTAATTTGCGAGGTAGTGGTCGGGGCCTGCACCGATCGGTATCAACATCCTACTTATTTTTGCAGCAAGCCGTACTGTGTTCCGTGAAAATGAGCTCTATTGCAATCTGATTGTGACTTCTACGTCTCTAGATTCCCGTAACCATTTAACACCGAGCGGGCCGTCTGCTCAATCAACCGTAAAAAGATGAGTTTTAGGCGTGCTCTATAAGCCTGATTGCATTCGCGATCAGCATACATAATAATATTATATAATATACCTTTTTACGATAAGGCTAAACTTGTAACAAATTCCAACAAACAGTTATCAGTTTCCTTTTATTCGGATAAAATAATTCAAAAAAAAATCTAAAACCCAATAGTGGCGGGCATCAAGCAGAGTTGAACTAATTAACCGAATCGATTTTAACAATCGACTAATCGATTCGGGGCGGTCGCGTTCGTGCCGGCGCGTAATCCTGTTTGCATATCGGTGGCACGAAAGTCCCGCACTTATCATGCTTTATTGATTGACACGCCAGTAATTCACTGTTTCAACCCTCACAGTCCACCTTACAGACTCGTGGTCTAATTCATAAACTTAAATCAACTACGAAATCGTATACATCAAAAGGAGCATATCATCGTTGAAACATTGTACAGAGTTAGATAGGTAATTGCAAAAAAACCTATATTTGAAGAAACTTTAAAGATGTACAGAGTCGACAAAATCTCAATGTTCACTAAATAATAAATTTATGTAATTGCTTTGGGAATTTCCACGACGTTAACTTTTGAAAACAACACTCACACAAACATATTGCATTTCTTATTGATCACTAATGACTCACATTCTTAAACTACAAAAAATTGTAAAAATAATTAGTAATAAAAAAAAAAATTTTGTTGATTTTTTTGTTATTGCCCTTGAAGGCAGACGAGCATACGGCCCACCTGATGGTGAGTGGTTACCATCGCCCATGGACTTCAGCAGTGCCAGGGGAAGAGCCAAGCCGCTGCCTACCGCTATCTATTAAAAAGTATGATTTTTCCCTTAACTATTCACTGATAGCCTAAGAGGCTATTCCAACTACGCGCGGACCTAGGTGAGCTCACGGGCTCAACCTGAGAAAATTTGCTAACACTAGCCCTAGCAAGAGCAGTGCTTCGCAGAATCTACCACCGGATCGGAATCGCGACTCACTGAGAAGATCCAGCGAGAAACTCAGTGGGCTAAATGGTACAATCTATTGAGATGCATCAAAACATAGTAAAAAGTAAGCAGTTTTGTGTACAAGCTGATGATGACAGACCATTCCCGCTGTAAGCTCATAACTTAGAGCGGAAAATAAAATTTACAAGCCGCGGTTTACGGCTCTTTGTTCAAGGTGGCGATAAGTTAGTTTTTAAGTTGAATTTCAATTGCATTTATTTAACTAACGTATTTAAATATGGGAACTGTACTGTTGGAACATTCTAGATTGAAATATTTATTACATTAATACATGGGTTTATTTATTATTGTAGTAAAATTGCATGCAAATATATAACTCATTATAATGAAAAAGCAATGTGCTATATCACTTAACGATTAATTACGTAGACCCATGATATGTTTGAAAAACAGCCTTTTTGGATCCAGCATAAACGTTTTGTAACAAAAGTTTCATAGAAAAGCGTTTAATGTACTTTCTTAAGACGTTGATGACGCAGCCATAACGACTACTGTTACACACGAACCTGTCAATTTTATATTTCCGAACGTATCGCGCCGAACATCAGAACTATATCCAAATTAGTTTCGACACGAAGACCGACCGACTGCCCGATTGTCTGCCTACGAAAACACAATCGAAAAACGTTCCCCTTTCATCAATGCCTTTTTCTTTTACAGGCGAAAACGGCACGCGAACTCGCCTAATAAAAGAACATTCGACTGAAGGAAAATCGATTCTCGAATTGATTGCGCGAGTAAAGAAATGCTTGTGAATGAGGTCGGCGAGTGCGTGCGGTCGCGCTGGTGACGGCGGCGGCATGAGCCGGGCGTGAGGCCAGCCGGATGCACCCCACGGGCGCGGCCAGCCTCCCCGCCGCACCCGAGGCGGAGGTGCAAGCTATGCACTCGATGGACTGGCTCTTCAAGAAAGAGAGGATCTATCTACTCGCGCAGTTCTGGCAACAGGTGGGCCCAAAGTTTAAAGCTTCGACTGCTCGCTGAGTTTTTCGCCGGATCTTCTCAGCGGGTCGCGATTCCGATCCGGTAGTAGATTCAATCGCGAAGCAGCTGCTCTTGAGTTGTTAGGTCTCCTTCGGAGGCGCTCGGGCAGCTGTTAGCAAATCCCACCCCTCTTGGCTGAGCCTTTGCTCGTCCACCGGTCCTGGTGAAACTGGAAAGGCCTCCGGGCCACTAGTAATCCTTCAATCGTAAAAAAAAGAAGCTTCGACTCTATAAATACTTCCGTTCACACGATTCAGAAATGTTGTTATATTTAAGTTCTCAAACAAAACGATACCAAAGAGCGGTATCAAAGTGAACCACAAACAAAAACCAGCATTTACCACAGTTATTTTTATTGCCAAAGACGGGCAGAAAAGCGTGCAGCTCAACTGATGTTAAGTGGCTGCCAGAGCTTTATACCTCTAGACGTAACTGCCGATATCATCAGCCCCAACTATCTATTGTACTCCGCAACCGCGTTTCATACCCTTGAACCGGACCACGCGACTGCTTTATGGCAGTAACTGGTAAGATAGTGGTAACCGCCGTGCGGGCACACAATACATCCCATCACCATTAATAACGCAAATTTAGACATATCTACTTCGTAAAACACATAAAGATAGTGAACACGTCTTTACGGATCCATCGGATCCAATAACCCTTGCATTAGACGCTTTTAGCTCTAACGCTAGGAGCAGGCTTAGGGACCCCAGAGAAGCAGCTACTTTTGAGTTGTTAGGTCTCTTTTGGAGGCACTCGGGTAGCTGTTAGCAAATCCCACCCCTCCCGGCTGAGCCCTTGCTCGCCCAACTGTCATTGTGAAACTGGAAAGGCTTACGGGCCACCAGTAATCCCTCAATCATAAAAAAATATAGTCAATAAACTTAATTGACTATTTAAAGTAAAACCAACTGTAGGAGTATACGATGAGCTGCAGCTAAGTTTTATTATGATGAAGAGTAAATGAATCCAATCAGTAATCACAAGTACACATCAATAATTCTGCAGAGACACTCCGCTACACGTAGGGCGGTCGCTGGCGGAGTTCGCGCCGGGCCAAGGTAGGTCGTCGGATAATCGACGCTGTTATGCTAAACTATTAATTGATTTCGTTGTGCGTGTCCCGTTATCTTTACTGCGACTTGTGGCTCGATTTAGGGTCACCGGAGCGTGCTCGTGTATTTATCTATCAGTATCTAGCAGACCCAGTAGACTTTTAGTGTCTCAATCGATAAAGAAAATAGCTAAGCTTATGTATAAAATAAACTTAAAACAAACAAAAGGACTCCGTCCCACGGGGACACATCAAAGGAAAAACAAAATTGTTATTTTTATTTCATTCCAAGCATTTTCATATTTAAGCTTTCTCTGGACTTCCACAAATAATTCAAGATCAAAACTAGCCAAATCGGTCCAGCCGTTCTTGAGTTTTAGCGAGACTAACGAACAGCAATCCATTTTTATAAACATCTATCAGTAATTTCATTACAATCCGACGATCTGGGAATATATAGAAAAAATTCAGCAGGTAGGCAGCGGCTTGGCTCTGCCCCGGCATTGCTGGAGTCCATGGGCGAGGGTAACCACTCATCATCAGGTAGCCGTATGCTCGTCTGCCTACAAGGGCAATAAAAAAAACATTAAGTGCAATAGTGAACCACTGGCTACTCAAATGATGATATTAAATAAATTTTTGGATTTAGTAAAAGAACCATTAAGTGACTGATCATGAGCACTCCATGTAATGTTATTCTTGAGCGTACAGCGTCCTGTTTGTTTTTACTAATTAAAAAGATTTTTTTCTGACTCATTCAACTACATTTGAATGGCATTAAAACAGAAGCACTTAAAATAGACATTTCCTCAACGATTCCGCAACATCCTGTGACCTTCCACACACGTACAGATACGCATCTCGCACAGAACAATAGTATTGGCTTTGATCACCAGATATTAATATGGAAATAACTTCAAACAATGTTCAACTGATAATTGTTCACGATTAGAATTGAGAAACAAAAACACATGTTTGCTACGATGTTGTTAATTCAATTAGTCGATTTCTTAATCGGTTCCACAGACAGTCCCATTAAAATCGACTATTCACGACACGTTCATGACTAACGCTAAGATCATCCAAAATTATTTTAATGCTTCCAACCTCCACGTGAGACAACCGTTACAAATCTGTGGATAATAACCGCCAATCTTTGACATTTGACACCCGTCAGTGTCAATGCAGTGACACGGCGCCAATTATAGGCATTAGCGCACGACTAATATCTGATAATCGCATCGTGAATATATGTGAAGCACGTACAGATTAGCTTTCAATATGGCGTCTGCGAGATCTTGGAAAGTGTATTTATTGGTTGAGTATAAATATTTATGTGAAAATGAAGGGAAGATCTAATGCGCACTTACATTGTCGTATAGACGTATTTGATGCGATATTGAATGAATTTATCATAATCATATAAGTTATTTACGATATCGGATTTGAACGTGCGTGATACGTGCTAGTACAGCGTTTTATTAGCGCAGTAATAAAGTCACAATTAAAGATACACTAACTACCTTGAGTACATGAGAAAATACATTTTTACATTTTTTGAAAAAGTTCTACCTAAACTTATCAAATTATTGTAACCATTCTCAACCTTATGCTCTAAGATGTATGGACACCAAGAAGCACTAACCTACCTACACGATCCAAGAGCTCGTCTGTCAAACCGCGCATATAAAAGTAGCCAAGAGCGAGCGGGCCCGCGCACTGTAAAGAGTTCCGTACTCGGGACAAACAGTCTTTGGTAAAAGTAAAGCTAACAAAAAATGCATCAACCTGAAATCACGGTAGGCCGTGTCTTGGCTCTGCCCCTGGCATTGCTGAAGTCCATGGGCGACGGTAACCACTCACCATGAGGTGGGCCGTATGCTCGTCTGCCTACAAGGGCAATAAAAAAAAAATAACGACAACAAATAATCTATTTTTTTTCCTTTATTGATGCACAAAACAAATTACAACTATAGTAGTTATAAGTTTAAATATTAAAATTTAATATAACAATCTGGATTGCAATTAAATTTAAATTAAATGGGTTCTCTAGTTTCACTACAGAGTGAGGGAAACGAAAGTGAGCTATAATATAGTCTATCTATAGCCTTAAACCGAATGAGCTACTTCAACTACCAGCCGTTATAAAACCCACACCCTTAGAACAAGGCACATAACGAACAAGACCCACCGATAAGAATACAAACTATCATACTATCTATCTTATAACGCGAATAATTTTTATTTTAGTTCATTTCTCTGGTAGATATTAAGCGCTACCTGCCTAATTGTGTTACAAATGCGTATAACAAACATCAGCTGTGCACGGATGAGATTTACGTGAGCGGAACCCAAAAAAGACATCTCGCACGAGTGGAGCCCGTTGCAAAATAAAGGCACTCCGAACACAATCGATTGAAATAGCCACGTTTTATGTAAATCATTCGAATGATTTTTAATCAATGTTTTAATGTTCTGAAGTATTATTCACAATGGTATCTCGGCGCATTGAATGGCCGCGGTATCGTTTCTACACATCGGGCGCTCGGTTCCTTGAACGCGTATGAATATTTATTTAGCATTGCCGTTTAGTTTGTGTTGTTTGTAATTTGTATTTGAATGCTTTTTAACATTCGTATTAGTTAAAAGAGCTGTTCGAAATTTTAACCGTCTTATCCCTTACTACCAATAGTGAATACTACCAGTCTAGAATACATTTTACATTACATTGCTGATTCTCGCGCCAGTGGAACTTTAGAACATGGCCAAGCCTGGGCTTCAACTTAAAACAATGTCAACTAGAGGTCCCGCAGTAGTTGAAATTCGACTATAATTAATTGGAATTGTAAGATTGTACACTATTATGATTGTATTTTATACTTCTATAATCACAAATTTCGCCAAGGCTACACTATAAAAAATATTAATAAAGACAAACAATATTTAATCTATTCTCAATTTGACAACAGACGTCAAGAACAAAAGTTTGACAATAAATAAATAGTATGCATGCGTGTGTGCGTCAAATACATGGTATGTAGTGTGTGTAATGTTTTCTTTCTTGATTTAATGTATCTTTTATGCATTATTTAAAAAAATATTAGCATTGTGCACTTCTTCTTTATATTCTCCATAGGTGTTGAAAATTTCATACTCCTCCGTCCGCGCAATTTTCGTAAAAAGGTATACAAACAAAGTTTTTGCTTCGCGTATTAATATATAGATATAAATAAACCAAATCACATTTCCTCGTTTTGCATGTCGTTTGACTGCATTCAAGTTATCGACAAAAATATAGGTACATTCGCGAATTCGGTTTCATGGTCCTGATAAGATCTAAGTTTTAGTATTTTATTGCAAGAATAGTTGTAATGCAGCAGTAAAGTCTAGGAACTTCGAGGACATCGGTGACGTTGGTACCAGATGGCTTAAGTTGAGGTCGAGGGTGTAATTTATTGGTGCCTCAGTGTTCACTGGAAATAAACCGGTTTTAAATTCGGTAGTATCCGCTTATATATTTCTTTGTCGATAAATGTGCATACGACTGATCTGGTCAACGTCATTAATGGAAAACAGCAATAGAGTGCCAGTATTGTAATGTGCTGATGATCTTGTGATATTATCACCTGAAATCTCTGGAGAATGCTCACATTACGGTATATTTAACACCTGCCTTCGACCGGGTATGTAAGGACATGCTGCAAGTGTGCATATGTTAACTTGTGTAATTTAATAATAGTTCTATTTAATTCAATAATTTCTATAAACAAAAGAATATTAACCGTGATCTTATTAACCGTGAAGCCCTAACGAATCGCGAAGAATTAGGCGATTATGTTACCCAGCATTAACAATCGATTAACAATTCGACTATGCGGTTATTAAGCGCGTCCTAATTCCGATCATT